TCACTAGATCCTTCTGCCTCCAAGTCCTGGGATGTAGGCCATTCTTTATCCTGGGGCATTTTCACACCAGGTTAGTTCCTCCAACTCTCCTTTGGATACTGGCGGCGGGTACTTGCCCCTGGAGCATCTTGGCCAAAATTCTTCTTCAGGCGGTATCGAAGTCGAGGCTGCAACATTTGCCATATCCATCGCGTTCTCAGAGATTTCTTTGATGGTAGGTGGAAGAGGAGAACCCATAGAGAAACCATGGGTTCTGACAACCTCACCAGATGTGCTGAGGGACCGAGTATGCTATTGCTCCTGCTTCAGTGTGAGGTTGCAGCTTTCATGTGATTCACATGCTTGTTCACGACCACCTCTCCTGAACCCTAACCCGAAATTTGTATGTCATGGGACCTGACTTCGCATCAACAATGCCTCTTACCCATGCAGAGCCATTCCTGTGGTTTCGACACCAAACTTTATCCCATTAAGTAAGCTGCCTCTCTCTCTTAGAGGACTCGTGTCTGGCATTGGCGTTTCTGATAATATTTCACCCTTCCCCACTCACCACATCTGGGAAGATCAGATTTAACTAGGTGGAGAGTCTTCTCCCTATTAGCAGCTCTGCTGGAGCTGTCGCTGTGGTTGTGGTTGTGTGAGAGGTGGTCCTATGATCAAAGAGGAACAAGGATAGTTTGTTTATTTTCTTTATTCATTAATGGGGTGAGGGCGTTGCTGGCTAGACAGCATTAATTGCCCATCCCTAATTGCCCAGAGGGCAGTTTCGAGTCAACCACATTGCTGTGGGTCTGGAGTCAGATGTAGGCCAGACCAGATAAATATGGCAATTTCCTCCCCTAAAGGACATTAGTGAACCAGATGGGTTTTTCTGACAATCGACAACGGATTCATGTTCATCATTAGATTCTTAATTCCAGATATTATTATACCAGATATTTGGTATCGAGTGAAGCTGTAGGCTGTTTCTTTAAGCTTGCCTTCACATTTGAACTGCTCTTTCCACCAGACTATTGGATGATGGATAGTATGGAGCTGTCCTTACATGCTAAATGCCATTCTACATTAGGAAATACTTGAATTCACTGCTGGTAAATGATGACCCATCGTTTACGATCAAAACTTGAGGAGTCCGTGTATTGCAAAAGATGCTTGCAACTTTTCAATCATTGTCCCTGTTTTGACGAATGAAGTCTGTGCATGTCCAACCACTTTGAATGAGCATCCACAATGACCAAGAACATTGAGCCCATGAAAGGACCAGGATAATCATCATTTAACTGCGTCCAGGATTTACCTGGCCATGCTCATGCAAGTGGGGAAGCTGCTGGTGGTAATTTTTGTCCTTGATGGTACTCTGGGCAATGCCCCACCAACGTGGCTCTGTCAGCATCCAATCCTGCCCACCAGACATAACTTCTCACCAACATCTTCAATTTGGAAACCACTGGATGACCTGGAGTTCAGTCAGTACCTGGGGCCAGCCTTTGCTCAGGACAATCATTCTCGCTCCCCATAATAAAACGTTATCTTCTACAGTGATCTGATCTCGCCAGAAAGGTTTCAATTCTGGTTGTGATCACCCTTTTGTTTTCCCCATCACCACCAGCTGTTTTTTTTTCAGGACTGGATCTTTTTGGGTCCACAGTCAGATATTATCAGCTGTGACTTGAAGAGTGTCCAGAAAGTTTAAAATCAGCACAGACTCTTCCAGTGGTGGCACTAATGGTGGTGCATCCACATTTGCTACTTGCTCTTCTGGATAGAGTTCTAACTTGTACAACTCTTGGAATAAGAGCCCACCGCTCTTATTTGAATGAAGTGATGGGTGGCACAGCCCTGTCCTCTTTAAGTAGCCCTAGCAGGGGTTTGTGGTACGTTACTATTATAAAGTTACGTCAGTAAAAATATTGGTGGAACTTTCTCACACCAAAAATGAATGCCAAATCTTCCTTCTCTATTTGGGCGTATCGCCGCTCAGCATCAGCCAAAGTCTGGGAAGCAGACACTATGGGATGTTCCTCTCTGTTGGGTCACAGTGAGCCAACACTACCCCGATGCCATATGGGGAGGCATCGCATATCAGCGCCACATCCTGCTTGGGATAGTACTGTGCCAACACCTTAGATGACGATAGAAGCTTCTTCATTCCCCTAAAGGCTACATTCTGGCTATGAGACTATTTCCAAGGCTGACCCATGTTCAACAGCAGATGTAAGAGTACCAGGATGGAGGCCAGATTACGTCTGAACTATCCGTAATAATTCACCAACCAAGGAAAGACCTAAGTTCCAGTACAGATGTAGGAGCCGAGCCACCTTTGACTGCCCTCACTTTATCTTCTAACAGGTGTAATCCAGTCTTGTCATCTATGTAACCCAAGTATGTCACTGGAATACTCATTTTTCTCTCCTAAAGAGTACATCTGCCTGAGAGAAATGTTTAATCACCACGTTCAAGTTCTCCAAGCGCTCATTATTGGCCTTCTTGTTATTTCACTAGTACATCATCCAGATAAATGGCGACCTGGGGTAGACCTTGTAAATGTCTGCTGGAAAACCCTAAACCTAACCCTAACCCATTGTCTGCTGGAAAATGGCACAGGCTGATTTGAATGTTGCTAAGCAATTGAACTGTTCCAAACCAGCTGTAGGTGGACTTTCTGAATATACACTCTCCTGGATCCTGGCCTATGAGTTTTCATACTCAACTCAGGCCAAGTGGCACTCTTTTGCTGTCTGAGGTCCGCGACTACAATGGCTTGCCAGCCCAGATACTCAAGAAAATTTTAACCATTTGGCCAAAGCTTAGTTTTGTTTTGCGGTTTTGCTGTGGGCTGACACAGAGTGCCTCTATTCAGAATATGTCCTGAGTGAGGCTACACAATTGCCTCCACTCACGTGGTGTCCCCCAAGCTCTGTTGGCCTGGCGAAGCTGTCCACTTTCATCAGCATACTCTGTACCTCATGTGATCCACTTGCTGCATATTCTAATCACAAAGCCAGTTGTAGTGCCTGTTTAAAGTCCAGTTGGGCTTCATCTAGTAGATGCTTTTGCATGATCACATCATTAATCCCACGTACCAAACTGTTTGTCAGCATCTCACTTGGGGTTAAACCAAACTCACATGCCTCTGCCAGTCAGCTTAACCTTGTCAAAAATCCCATTATGAATTCCCCTCGTTCTCGAACAGCTGAGTAAAACTGATAGTTTCTCATAACCAGAGGCGGCTCAGGGTCGTAACGTTCTTTTGCTAAATCTGTCAACTCTTGAAAGATTTTAATATCTGGGGCCTCATTTAGATTTCTAATAATCAAAACAGCTGCAGGTCCACCAGTGTCAAGAGAATTACTTGTTGCTTTTTGTCTGCCCCAAAGTCATTTGCCTAGAAAAAATAATGCATTCTTTCCACATACCGGGCCCGGTCTTCGACAGCAGAATAGAACAAGTCAAGCCTCCCAAATAGCGGCATGATGCCAGAAATGCTTATCCTAACGCGAAGACGACTGCTGCAAGCAAATCTTTTCAGGGGTAGCAAGAACTGTAGATGCTGGAGTCAGCTATAAGGACAGAGCAGGCCAGGCAGCATCTCTTCAGTGGCATGTTTTCACTCATTGCCACTGAGATAACTCCACGAAGGCTGTTATTCCGTCACCAAGTCACCCTTTATTTACATGTGCATGGTACATGACATTGACCCAGCCAGCTCAGAGCTGGCTCCTAGAGTGAACAGAACCCATGACACTCCTGTTTATGTCTGTCAGCCAGGACTCCCTGATTGGTCCAGCTTAACAGCCCCTATTACAGAACTCATATTCTATGATATCCATCTGGCTGACTTTGCTCCAATTATGGCATCAGGAAGGCAGGTAATGAAACTGTCTTGAAAGTAACTGCCCATCCAAGCTGGAATCCATGCACTGATGCAATAAAGGAAATTCAAAATTTGTTGTTGAAGTAAAGTGCTTAGTGACCTAATGAGATCATGGAAGTTGCTACACAATGCAAGACCCTTCTTTACACTGTCAAATACAATTCAACATTGCTTGAGTATAACTCCTTCTTTGCTGCTGCAAGAACAGAAATCTGCTAACTGCAGAAAAGCAGAGCTCCCAGCACCAACATGGCATTTTCCCTATTTTTCTATGGCCTAGAGGCAACAGTAAACTTAGTGCCAAATTAAGGACAAATTTATGTTATGACCTCTGCCCCTGTAATAATCAAGTTTGAAATGCTGAAATTAACAAATAGCACATTTACCAAGAAAGAATCGATCCAGATTTTCAGGTCTCTAATTTGAGGCTGGATATACGCCCAAAGATGCATTTTGGGACTCCTACAAAATCTGATGCATATCACTCATATTCATTCACTACAATAAAAAAGTTATTTAAATGTCTAAGAGCTTTTCAGCACATGAAGAAATGAAGACACACAGAATACAACAGCTAGTGCCATAAAATAAAAAGAACTGTGGCTTGTCTTGCCCCTGGCAATCCTGCACTACAGAGAAGAATTCCAATATAAAACATCCACATTTCTAAAGAGAACAGGTTTGGAAGAATTGGCGAGAAATGCAGAGTTCCATTCTCAGGTAAAATAGGTGAATCAGAATGGCAATTTAACTGTGATCTTCTTTCGTTGAAAGATTCAGCTTTTAGATTTCCTTCTCATTTGTCTCAGCAGTACTGTTATCTTGAATGGTTGGTTTCTCCCAAAATTAATTATCTATGTACTATTCCATGCCAATGGTAAATCATTTAATTAACAATGTGGCCCAAATCTGCATAATTTTCTGTATAATCTAGCTGCAGAAGTTATCTAGTCATGCACAACTCCAACTATATTGAAGGCTTCAAACAGCCAAAGTCCTACATAATATATAAATAATACAAAAGCTATGAAATTACTGATAAAGTGCGAACAGATTTTTGATGTAAAACAGATTACGGAATTAACAACAAATTGCAATTCTCTCTACAAGACATTGATAAAGTTACCTGTAGACTACAGTTCCTGTGACATGAGATTCCTCTCTTCTCAGTCTGGCCAGGATTGCTCCTCCTTCAAGCTGCAGTCTCACTAATCTTGTATCTTCCAGAACATTCTTCATTAAGTGCCTATACTGCTGCAAAAGAGTACTTGCTTCCTGGAATTAGGAATAAATTATAAATTACTAGCAACATAAAAAATAGGAGCAGGAGAGCGCCATTCAGTCCTTCAAACTTGCTCCACGATTTGATGTCATGGCTGATCACCAACTCAATATGTTCCCATTTCTTCCCATACCCTTTGATCCCTTTAGCCCCAAGAACTGTATCTAAAACCTTTTTAAAAAACATTCAATATTTTGAACTCAACCACTTTCCATGGTGGAGCATTCCACAGGCTCACCACTCCCTAGGTGATGAAATTTCATGCCTCAGTGCTAAACAGCCTATCCTGAACCCTTAAACTGTGACCCCTGGTTCTAGACTCCCCAGTGATCCAGATCATCTTTTCTGCATTTCCCCTGTCTAGTCCTATAAGAATTTTATAAGTTTCCATGAGATCATCCATCATTCTTCTAAACTGCTACAAAGACAGGCCTAATCAATCCAATCTCTCTTCATAATATAGTCAGTCCTGCCATTCCAGAAATCAGTTTGGTAAATCTTCCTTGCACTCCCTCCAAGGCCAGATGATTCTTCCTCCTATATGGAGTCCAAACCGCACATTATACTTGAGGTGTGGTCCTCATCAATGCTCTGTACAATTGCAGTAAGAGACCCTACTCCTGTACTCAAATCCTCTTGCAATGAAGGCTAATATACCATTTGCCTGCTACAACCCTGTTGCACCTGCTGTTTACTTTCAGCGACTAGACACCCAGGTCTCATTACACCTACCCTTTTCCACATCTATTGTCCTACAGATAATAATTTGCCTTTCTGTTTTTGATACCAAAGTGGATAATCTCACATTTATATGCAATCCCACTATTTTTTAAAAAAGGTAGAGAGAAATCCAATAAATGTACACCTGTTAGCCTGATATCGGTAGTGATGAAAATGCTAGAGTTCATTATAAAGGATTTAATAGCATAGTACTTGGTAAACAGTGACAGGATCGGACAGCGTTAGCATGGATTTATTAAAGAGAAATCATGCTTGGCAATTCTCCTGGGACTTTTTTTAAGGATGTAACTAGTAGAATAGATAAGGCGGAGCTAGCAGATGTGGTTTATTTGGACTTTCGGCAGGCTTTCAAAAAGGTCCACTTAAAAGAATAGCATCCGGAATTAAAGAACACAGGATTGGGGGTAATGTACTAACATGGATAGAGAACTGGTTGGCAGACAGGAAACAAAATATGAAAAAAGGGTCTTTTTTCCAAGTTGGAGGCAGTGATTATTTAGGTGCTGCAGGGATCAGTGCTAGAACCCCAGCCATTTACAATATATATTAGGATTCAGATGAGGAAACTAAATGTAACATCTCCAAACTTGCCGACAACACACAGCAACAGTGAACAGGCTGCAGAGATGCTCAGCATGATTTGGACAAGTTGAGTAAGTGGAGACGGGCAGCAGAGCTTTGGATCAAGTTCTACATGGAAAAGAGTGTGGGAGGTCAGCTAGGAGTGCATTGAAATAGTTAAATCTAGAGCTAACAAAACCATGACTGAGGATTTCAGCAGCAGATGAACTGAAGTAGGGATGAAAAACTGGAAGAACTGCAGATGCTGAAAATCAGAATCAAATAGAGAAATGGCTGGAGAAACTCTTCAGAAAGAAAAATTCTTCAGAAGGATGGTTGCTGGACCCAAAATGTTAACTCTGATTTCTCTCCACAGATGCTGCCAGACCTGCTGAGTTTTTCCAGCAATTTCTGTCTTTATGTTGAAGTTGGGATGAATTTGGGCAAAGTTACAAAGTTGGAGCTGGATATCTTAGTGAGGTCATGGACATGTGGTCAGAACTTTACTTGGGGCCAAATGTGTCAAAAGCTGCAAACAGACTAGTCTAGTCACAGACAATTGGCATAAAGGAAAGTGGCATCAGCAGGTAGGAAATGAAAGCTTGAAGTGAGAACTGAAGATCGTGGCTTCAGTTACTTCCAGTGGGTCTCACCTTGGTCCTCATTCTATTTCTCAACTATAGACTATTCCAAAAGCACAGAATTAGTTTTCCCATGTACAATGACACTCTGCTCTAACTCACAAACACCTCTTTCTCAAATCCTCTGTAACCTACTTACTAAGTAAGTTATCGATTGCTTATTTGATATGGTGCACTGAATGAGCAAAACTTTGGAAACAATTTCTATGCCTGAGTCATGCTAAACTCTGTTCTCTGTGTCCTTACTTATCCTAAGTTCTATTCATCTATTATCCCATGTTTGCTGACCTACATTGGCTGCTGATCAAGCACATGCCTTGACTTTTAAATTCTCATCCTTGTTTTCAATTCCCTCAGTGACATCACCCTTCACTATCTCTGGCTTCTAGTCCCATAACTTCATGTGATCTATATTTATTATTGTTCACGGGATGAGGGTGTCGCTGGCTAAGGCAGCATTTAACTGCCCTTTGGGTATTAGGGATGGGCGTTAAGAGTCAACCACATTGCTGAGGGTCTAGAGTCAAATGTAGGCCAGACCAGGTAAGGATAGCAGTTTCCTTCCCTAAAGGATTTTAAGTGAACCAAATGGATTTTCCAGACAATTGACAATGGATTCATGGTCATCTGCCATGGTGGGATTTGAACCTGGAACCACAAACATTAGCTGGGTCTCTGGATTAACCTGCAATAATAACACTAGGCCATTGCCTCCCCAAGTACTCAGACACATGCTCACCTAATTCTGACCTCTTATGCATCTCCAATTTTAATTACTCCATATCTCAAAATGGATTGATCCCAAACTCTGTAATCTCCTCTGTAAAGCTTTTGATTCTCTATATCTCTTTTCCCATTTAAACCACTCCTTCAAGCTTTCCTCGTTAACAAAGCTACTGGACATCTACCCTAATATTGCTGCACATTGCTTGCTGTATAACACTCCTGTGACCTGCCTTGATGTTTTATTCTGTTAAAAGGTATTATATAAGTTGTTGTTGATATGTTTACAATTATAATGGAGCATCAGAAGGTTGGAACCCCAACTAAACAGATGAAGTAGGTGTGTTACTTGAAATGGATTTAAGGAGAACTGCCCTGTTTAATTATGTAGGATAGCAGTCTACAGGTCTTAGAGCAATGCATAAATTTATTTTGTACATTTCAGAGACAGTGGTATCAAATTCAGAAAGACAAAATTAATCCTAAAGAAAATAACCAAGAATAGGATAACCCACTGCTATTTGTACTGAATGGATAGGCATAACATGCATGTTACAAATTGTTTGCTTACACCCAGTTACAATCGACAGTTGTGCAATCCAAAATATTCAGACATTTAAACAATTTCTGAATGCTCATTTTGAATTTTATTTCTGCAACAAGCCATAAATAGCAGCAATTTATCCCAATATGTATTCTTTTCCCTATTTGTGCGAGCCATATAGTATCCTAATATTTTAAAATGTTTTCTATATTAAGGTCATATATGTCTTTTGTTATCTGTGGGAATTCATCTTTTGCCTCATTTAAAAGCATCGCAAATTAATTTTAAGCATCCCTTCAGAACTTTTGCATTGTCTAAAATGAATGAAAAATCTGTGAGGGCAAAGATGTGTTTTGTGCCATATCCCAGATCCTTTCTGTCTAAAATCTACCATAATAAACTATACTCTGATGAAAGATACTTCTTTATGCCTCTATAATTATGAAACCACCTCAAGTAGAAGGGATATGAGGGATATCAGAAATGATATTCTGAAGAAGGGTCCCGACCCGAAACATCAGCTTTCCTGCTCCTCTGATGCTACCTGGCCTGCTGTGTTCCTCCAGCTCCACACTGTGTAATCTCTGACTCCAGCGTCAGCAGTTCTTACTATCTCGACGTGAGCATTATTGTTTTATTTAACAAATCTATTGTTTCAAAGAATTTAAATATTTATTTAATTAAATATGGATAGAGATAACTGCAGAAATCAATAAAGAGAGTTTTTTTTATGACTTTGCCATTCTGTCAGAGGTCTGTGGACCTTAGAGGATTTTTAACCAAAAAAATTAGTGATCCCTACGCCCAAATTTCTACCTGTATGCGATTTTTCTTTTACTTATTCATGGGATACAGGCTGTGATAACTCAGGAAGTCCAAATGGAAAGGAACATCATTTATTGTTGAACACCAAAATAGCTCGACCAACCGCTGGCATACAGAGGCTAGTCACAGCTGAGACAAACATTTTTACAGACCCATCCCTGGGAAGGTTTTTATTTAACCTATTTTCCTAAGCAACCTGTTCAGAGATGTCCTTCCACACCTCTGGAGCAGGTGGGACTTGAATCCAGGCCTCCTGGTCCAGGGTGGAGACACTAGTAGCACCACAAAAAGATCCTAAGGTGTGCTTATAAAGGGCTCAGGTGATGAGTTCCTGCTGTGTAGGCCATTACCTGTTATCATGCGAACTTAGACTAAATAAGCTCCACAAGGATATTTAATTAGTGATTCCCAATGGGCCTTGCAGGAGAGTTATCACACAGGCATTGCTAGCTAAGACAGAGTTTGTGCCAATCCCTAGTTGTCCTTGAGAAAGTGGTGGTGGGCTGCCTTCTTACACTGCTGCAGTGTATAGTGTGCACGTATATCCACAATGCTGTTAGGAAGGAGTACCAGGATTTTGACCTAGCGACATGGAAGGAATCAGGTGGTGTAGCTCCAAATCCAGATTGTATGCGACTTGTAGAGGGTACTTCCATGTCGTGATGTTCCCATCCTCCACCTTATACATGATAGGAGCCGCTGTCAAAGGAGGCTGGCTTGGTTGCTACGGTGAGCCTTATAGATTATACACATTGCTGGCATTCAATGGTAGAAGGAGTCAATGGTGAAGGTAGTGGATGTGATGCCAGTTGAGTAGATTGCTTTGTCCTGGACAGTCTCAAGCTTCTTAAGTTGCAAACATTCTGTAACATGTTCCTTAGCATAACAATCTAGCAATTACCTCAGGGGTTTCTGGTAGTTTACTTGATTTCAGGCTCTCTATATTGTCCTGGAGGAAACTCTTTGCTGCTTTACATCCCTGTATAAGCTGTTCTTGTTTCTGCAGAAACAGAGAAATCAGCTGAATAGAATTTAAAATACATTATTTCAATCTGATATTATTTTGGCAAAAGGAAAAACTAAATGCAGACTAACTCCAGACTGTGTTGAAGAGAGGCAAAATCAATAAGTCTGACAGGTTATCTATAATCTAGTGTAGATGAATGTATGTTAGTTTTGATATTGTTACCAATACACTTTGATATTGATATTGTTTCTCCATTAACAACATAAAAGTGATTGTTTACACACAAAGGTATTTGTGTGATTGGAATATGCTCATCGGATGAAATATTTAATAACGATCAAGAAGAAAATGATGACAGTGAGGGTTCCACTAGGAGATACAGCACTGTAGCTGCATAAGACAGGAGCAACAAGAGTCCAAGTCACGGTAGGTGGCTCAATAGTCAGGGTTAGGGATATCACTGAATAGTTGCCGGGCATCCTGAAGTGGGAGAATGATAAATCAGAGGTCATGTACAGTTTGGGATTAATGATATAAATAGAATGGGAGATGAGGTTTTGTATCAAGAATTCAGGGAGCTAGGCAGTAGAATAAAAAGCAGGTCCTCTAAGGTTGTAATCTCTGATTACTCCTGATGCCACGTGCTAGTAAGTACAGGAGAATATAGCAGATAAATGTATGGCTCAGGAATTGGTGCAGTGGGAAGGGTTTTAGATTCCTCAATCACTTGAACCATTTCTGGGGAAGATGAGACTGTACAAGTGAAACAATCTGCTCCTGAACCAGAATGGGACCAACATCCTTGCAGATAGGTTTGCTGGTGTTGTTGGGAGGAGTTAGACCATAAGAAATGGGAATAAACAGTTCACTATCTCAAACCTGCTCCACCATTCAACAGGACCATGGCTGATCTGGTATTCCTTACATACACTTTCCTAGTGCTTTCTAGTTAAACAAGTTCCGCAGAGGTAGGGGACACAGAGCATTATTATGATAGGGACACAGCATAATATAACAAAGGAACCAGGACAGAGGTAACTCAAGGGAATAAGGCGAGGCGGGATAGCCTCGACTTTAATGCTTGAAGTACTGTAGGTAAGTCAGATAACTTATCACACAGGCTTGACAGAAGGTATTGTGACTTTGTTGCCACCACAGAGACATAGTTGAGGGAGGAGAAGGACTGATGACTGAACATTCTGGGGCATAGGATCTTCAGGCATGACAGAGAAGGTGTAAAAGAGGAAGTGGTGTTGCATTATTAATTAAGTGGACAGTTACTGGGAGGGACAATACCTTGGAACGGTCGTCAAATGAGGTTTTGTGTGTAAAACATAGAAATAAGGGAGGCAATCACATTCCTACTAGTATATTATATCTCCCCAACACAATCAACAGGCATTAGAGGATGTGTAATAATAGGGGATTTCAACTTCTCAAATATTAATTGGGGTAGTCATTGTGCAAAGGATTTAGAAGGGGTGAATTTCTTGAGATGTAGTCAGGACAATTTGTTATGTCAACACGCAGAAGGACCAACAAGAGACAGTGTTGTGCCAGACTTAATTCTGGAGAACGAAGATGGGCAGGCGATCAAGGTATCATTTCAGCGATAGGGACTACAACATAGTGAAATTTATGGAAAAGGAGAGATGGTCTGCAAAAAAAGGTTTTTGGATTACGGAAAGACATATTTTATTAAAATACGGCAGGATCAGGTCAAAGTTGACTGCAAACAGCTACGTGGGAAAATCTACAGCAGAACAGTGAGAGTGAGGGGCATTTCAAAAAGGAAATAAGCAAAGTACAGGCCCAGCATGTTCTCTTTAGTGTGAGATTTAGGAGCAAGAAGACTAGAGGAACATGTTGTCTAGGAATATTCAGGACGGGATAAAAAGGCGACTTTTAGCAGGTGCAGAGGGAACAAATTGAGAGAGGCCCTAGTGGAGTATAGAAATGGGACCTTAAGAGAGCAATTGGGACAGCAAAATGGGAGCAGGTAAAATTAGAAGGAATCCCAAGATAATCTGTAAGCATATTAAGGGGAAAAGGATAACCAGGGAGAGTACAGCCATTAGGGATAAGGGAGGTCATCTGTGTGTGGAGCCAGAAGACACTGGTAGGGTGTGAAACCCATACTTCACTTCTGTCTTCACTCAGGAGAAACAGGATATAAGTACAGAATTTGCAGAGAGGGCCCATGAGGTTCTTGAGCAAATTGACATAAAGACTGAGAAGGCATTTGGTAAGCTTAAAAGTGGACAAGACCAGATCAGTTGTCTCCCAGTTTGCTGTGGGAAATGATGGAGGAAACCACAGGGGCTCTTATAAGAGCAGAGAGGTTAAGTTGCAGTTATACAAAACCTTGCTTAGGCCACAGCTGAAGTACTGTGAGCAGTTCTGGTCGCCATACTATAGGAAGGATGTGATTGCACGGGAGGGGCTGCAGGGATTCACTAGGATATTGCCTGGGTTGGTACATTTTAGCTATGGAGAGAGGTTGGATGGGCTCGAGTTGTTTTCTTCAGAGCAGAGAAGGCTGAGGGGGACATGTTAGACATGTATATGATTATGAAGGTCAAGGATAGGGTGGATCGAACGCAGCTGTTCCCCTTAGTTGAAGGGTCAATAACAAGAGGGTGAAGGACGAGAGGTTTAGAGGGTATCAGAGGAAAATGTTTTTCACCCAGAAGGTGTGGGAATCTGGAATGCACTACCTGAGAAGGCAGTAGTGGAGTGAATCCTCACAACCTTTAAGATGTATGTGGATGAGCACTTGAAACGTCATAACATCCAAGGCTAAGAGCCAAGTGTTGGAAAGCAGGATTAGTGTAGATAGGTTGGCACAGACAAAGGGCCTCTCCTGTGCTGTATGACTCTAAGCTGTTAAACGAAAAGGGAAGAATGATAGTGTGGTTTCCCATTGAATTCCATCATTTGGAACTCACAGTGGGCTAAATCCAGGTCTACATCAGTAGTTACAGAAGGTTTGTCTCACTGAAATATTTGAAAGCCATGGTTGTGAAAATACAGTCCAAAATTGCACAAAACAGTACATCATAAACATGAACAAACGGCAGGCAAATGGTTTCTACTTGGGTCTTGGTTGCTTCTAATTTTTGTCATTATGCCCTCTTTTCAAATTTGGCTTATAACAGCTGGGTTAGACAAACAATGACATGATCCTTTTCGTCCAACACTCACCATACGAAAGCACATCCAGTTACTATGACTGTAGGGGAGAGTTCCATCAAATTCTGGTGGCAGCTGATGGCTTTCCACATGTTTATGTAGTGACTTCAATGAGGTTAGAAGTTCAAACTATGCAACAAAAAAAAAATCATGATTTCACACAAAATTCAAAAGCAGATATATAAAAGACTGAAAAATGTGAGTAAAATCACCAAAAATACTGTCAAAATTAAACCTAAAAGCTGTCGAGCAAGATATTTTTCAACTAATCACATGAATAACATTAGAAATCTTACGTCTGTGCAAATGTAAACCTGGTGTCACAGTTTTATAGAATCCTCTCAATCAATTAGGGATCCCTGACCCATTCAATAAAGAGAATTCTCAAAAGTCAACTTAAATTTTCCATAAAATAAAGCAAAATTAACTCTCAATTGGTAACAGAGATGCATCATCCAAAGATCCACAATTCAATTACTTAGGAAAAAATATTGTGAGGACCTTTGACTCAGAAGCAGTATAGTGAGAACTTGTAATTTCTTTAAAATGTCATTGTAACTGTGTTTAAGAATATTTGAACAATGTTTAAAAGTTCGAATTAATTGTAAGTTTCTTGAATCTTAAGAAACACTGGTCCACATGACCTAGTGATGCTTGACTTGGAAGCAGTACCAACAGGGAGGAAATTAAGATTCAGAAAAGCCAGATACCGAGAACACAGAATTAACCAGATCATTCTATTTTCTGTTTTTAAGAATTCAGATAAAGTCATTTGTGGGATATCCGTGCCATCAATACTGCCATGAACAAAGCTGAGGAGATTTTTCATATGCCATGTGGGTGAGAACTTTCTGCAGGGACTTTAGACAACATATGGCTCCCAATATATAAGATTCAAGTACCAAATCAACTGAGTGGGAATGTAATTAACCTTATCTGCCAGAAACTGAGTTAAGAAAACATTGGAACTACGTGTGTTGACGGGCAAACGTAAGGGATCTCCCATTCAAAACAAAATGAGGGAAATCATTTCTCTTACAGGGTTTCACCTTTGGATCTCACTTTTCCACAGACAGCAGAGAAGGCTGGGTCATCAAATATTTTTTAAGATAGTAGTAGGTAGATTTATCAGAGATTGATAGGAAGGTAAAATGAGTTCACAATCAGATCAGACGTGATCACGTTAAATAGCCAGCCAGGCCTAAATATCCTACTTCTACTTCCAATTCATTAATTTGTACATTTCCTTTTAGCCATTTTGTAGGAAGTTACCTGGCTTCAGCTCAATATTCCCTGAATGGTAACTTTCTGCATGGAAAATCACAGAAAGCCTCATCACAGTGAAGCAATTTAATGCTCTTATACACCTAACTACCATATTGCCATGTATTCAGCGCTTCAACGGTTCTCAACAAGACTTTAATTTGCAATCAGTGTCAATCTAACTCATACAAGTTCTTACTTAAGTTACTTTAAAAAATAACAAATTATACTTTAAAGTTGACATAAAATTGGAAGGGACAGAAGTGAGTGTACTCAAATGAACCTTTATAGAGGACTAAAATAACCATGTTGCTCCGATTCCTCAACCAACATAAAGAATGGAAGAGATGAATGTACACAAACCATGAAAATGTTCAAACTTTTATGACATTTTCATCATCAATGCATAAAATAAGGACTCCTGTACTAAACAGACCAAGCCAAAGTAGAAGTCATTTTGCTGTATCTGCATTTGGCTGATAAAATTGACAGTAACATTCAACAATAACTGGCAACAAATCTAATCAAGAGGTTAAGATGACCTTCTATGAATGCCACAAATTTTTTATCATATATATCTCAGGAAAAGATTACAGTGTCTGATGCCTCATGTGGTTTACAAATTGAACTATTACACAATTTTCAAATAAAGTACATCTGCAGATAATGCAGGTTTTAACACTGGGAAGGGAATATTAGTGAGCAAAAAGAAGCTATAGTAATTGTTATCAGTCCGAAATCTGACTTTTTTTTAATCTCATTGCTCTACATTTGATTACTTAGCCTTGTTTACCGTACACAAATTAAGTGTGAGAAGTCTCAATCAGTTCTTGGTGGGCATGAATCACTGTTTTAACTGCCACAAAATAATGTACATCAATCCAATTCAGAGTGTTCTGGGATAAGGGTCAAAGAGTGACTGCACGAGTGGAAGAAGTTACAGAGGTCGGAATCCAAGTTAGACAAAGAGAATTTAAAGTTTCCAGCACTGACAGCACAGAAGCCACTGCAGATTAGTGGCTGACAGCCAAGTAAGATGAGACGAGGACAGGGATGGCTGGACAAACTATAGTTTACAAAATGTGGAGGATGGAAGGCTACCAAAGACATCATCCAAATCCAGAAAAGTAAATGCCAAAGATATTGATGAAAATTTAGTACATATATAAGCTTAGACAAGTGATCCTACTGTTACGCCATACCACTGGCAAGGTTCCTCAATTTGTTAGGGTTTCAGACAAGAGATTCATAATGGTTAGGTTCTCAGGACAGGAAAAATGTACTAGCTTCCCTTTATAAACTCACCCATTCAGCTGGTCACAATAAAGGTCAATTTAAAAATGGGCCCCTCTTGTTATGGATAGCTTTTCATCTTGGCCCAAATTACCTTATGTTTTAAAATAAGCCAATTTAGCCAGGATTTCTTGAATTAACAAAAAGATTATTAATTGCCAAACATGAAAAAAATTAGAAAAGCAACATATATAGATTAGAAATGAGGTGAATCCAGTCAGAGAAATGTTTGAAAAAATAAGGATCAGCCTCTGAATTGTTCGCAAAAGTGGACAGTTGAACATTGAGGCCAATGCAGTGGACATTACTGGTACTTGCATAGTTGATGACTGAATTACAGTGATCAGGATGAGAGGGTGTCCTCTTGTTGCTCTGTTTAAATTTTGCTTGGGTTACTAGTTAGCTGGTTGCCAATACTCAGAGTGAGAGAATTCCTTTACATGCAACAGGGGTGTCTAGGGATAGTTCTTCAACTGTAACCTTCACAGCATGCTATTACTCAAACCCAGGCCTATACTTACATATTTTAACCCATTCTATCCCACTAACACATTCCAGTAGAGTTGAAACTGGCTTTATAATCCCTATCCTTTTAAAAAAAACAATGGTCTGCAGTTTGCAATGTAAGCTACAGGAGGATCATAAGCTGTTCGTTATCCTTCTAGTGACAGGAGATCACCAGTCTGTTCTAACTTCAGTCTTTCAACTTTTAAGGGTTGGTACTTGAACTTCCTTCCTAATCTTTACATATATTATTGTGTGGATCTTGTTTGCAGACAGCCATATCTTTATAGTCAAAAAAGGTTATGGATGTACAAGCCCTTATCTAACAAAATACATTATGAAATTACAAGTTTAAAAAGTCCATTGTACTTTGGGATTCTGATCATGGTTATAACACCATCTAGGTTAGCTTGCAGTTGAACTAAATATTGAGATTGCCTGGGGACAAATGGAAAAATGAGGTTGTAAACCATATGTCGTAGGCATCAGAGGAAAGATGTTGGAGAAAGAATGCATAATTGATCATTTCAGGAGTTGCAGAGATCAAAAAGGGATAATCTGCTGCATTTATGGTTCCAGTGAATGTCATTCATGACTTTATTTGGGACTATTTTGCTGCTGAGTGGCAGAAGACAGGGTAATTCAGACAGAACTACAATGAGGGGTGGGATTCAGTCCAAAACATATGTAAGAACATTTGAACATGTAAGACCCCTTAATTATATCAATTTTCAAAGCTTCATAATAGAAGGGATAATGCTTATCACTCTCCTCCTTCCATAGCTTGAATGGATGAGCATACAGTATACAGGTATACCTCAACATCATCCTTACATCAAGGCATATCAAATAGATATATTAAATGTTAGATAGGCAATTTTCTAACACGTACCTGCATTGAAGATGGTTTCTCAAATCTGAATGTAAGTTCTCTTTCAGCAAGCAGCAAAACAGCATGGATAGCATTTGGAATTTTTGCCTGTATAGGAATATCAAATTAGTCAATGTGATACTGTTAGCATTTACAGTTTCTCACAAGCATTTACAGTTTCTCACAATATTTGGGAGCTGGGATTACTTTAATAGAAAACATTTTATATAAATGTTATAATGGAATACCAAACAAATATTCATTAGCACAGAGGTCATGATGTTCAAGTACTGGAATCTTGTATATAGTGAAGAGCTACTTTAAACTTCATCTAATTTTTTCCTACAAATAGCTTACATCAACCATAAACCAATCTTATTCAGTTTAATGGGCACTGCAGTTACTAATTTTTAGCGATTACACTATCCATTTCAGATGGCACAATTAATGAGAAATCAAGTTAAACTCTAAGTTTTCCATTGCTTGCATCATACGTAAAAACTCACAAACTCAGTATCTGGTACAGCATACAGCATATTAAACCTGGCGGTGACTTTCAAGAAAGACAACTATAAATTAAACTCAAATATTGCTTTTCTTATTGTGATAGCCTGGACATTCAGGATCTTCTGAGAGACATCAAACTTAGTATATAACCAACAAACAAGTTAGGAATTCAGTAAATATTTAAACTTCTGACATAGATAAGAATGCTGAGGGGTGTGGTATGGAACCAAGTGAATCAGAAAGTTCTTCCAAGTAATTACTCAAGAGGAATCTGGAATGGAAGCACAGAAATATTTTCTCTCATGAGCCCAAGGATTAAGATCAATTTTCGTGCCTGCAGCACTGATTATAATTCACTATAAAAAGGACTGACTAACTGAGAACATTCTGGTTCAAATAACATGGCGTCAAATCTCAATATCAGGGAGTTTAAATAGTTATTGTGCTAAATACAAATTTCTAAAACATAGGTTCACCTTGCCAAAATCTACAATAAGTAAGTTTTAAATGTGCTTGATATTCTAGATGAATTTACATTTTGATATCTTTGATCTATTTTATTATTGTCATGTACCGAGATACAGTGAAAGGTATTGTTTTGCATGCTAACCAGACAAGTCGTAACTTACATAAGTACATCAGAGTAATGGAACAGAATATAGTGCTTTAGCTACAGAAAAGGTGCAGAGAAAGATCAACTCTAGTATATGAGAAGTCTGTTCATAAGTCTGATAACAGCAGGAAAGAAGCTGTTCTTGAATCTGTTGGTATACATTTTCAAATTTTTGTATCTTCTGCCTGAATGAAGAGGGTGCAAGAGAGTACAACTGGAGTGGGAGGGGGTCCTTGATTATTTTGGCTGCTTTCCCAAGGCAGCGGGAAGTTTAAACAAAGTCAGTGGAAGGAAGTTTTCATGATGGCTTGGGCTGTGTTCACAACTCTGTAACTTTTTGCAGTCTTGGGCAAAGTAATTGCTATACCAAGCTGTGATGTGTCTAGATACAATGTTTTCTATGGTGTATCAATAAAAATTGGTAAGAGTCACCGTGGACATGCCAAATTTCCTGAGCCTTCTGAGGAAGTAGAGGTGTTCTTTCTTGACTGCAGCATTGATGTGGATGGACTAGGATAGGTTGTGAGTGATGTCAAAAAATGTGGAACTGAAAAAGTACAGCAGGTCAGACAGCATCTGAGGAGCAGGAAAGTCAATGTTTCGGGTTGGAACCCTTGTTCAGGCTGAGTTGACTTTCGTGCTCCTCAGATGCTTTCTGGCCTGCTGCGCTTTTCCAGCTCCACATTTTTTGACTCTAGCTTCCAGCATCTGCAGTCCTTTCTGTCTCCTAGATTGTTGGTATATTTACTCCTAGAAATTTGAAGCTTTTGATCACCTCCATCTCAGCATCATTGAAACTGACAAGGGCGTGTCCGCCACTCCGCTTCCTGGAGTCAACAACCAGCTCCTTCAATTTGCTGACATTGAGGGACAGACTGTAGTATTTACACCATGCCACTAAGCTGTCTATCTCCTTCCTGTACTCTGTCTTGTCATTGTTCGAAATCTGACCCACAAATTTGTAAATCAAATTAGAGCTGAATTTGGCAACACAGTTGTGTACATTTAAAGAGTATAGTATGGGGCTGAGTATATAACTTTGCGGGGCGCCGGTGTTGAGGATTATTGTGGGGGTGGTGTTGTCACCTATCCTTGCCGATTGCAGTCTGCAGGTCAGGAAGTCGAGGATCCAGTTGCAGAAGGGGAAAAGACAGTCCAAGGTTTCAGAATTCAGAAATGAATTTGGTTGGAATTATGGTATTGAACGTGTAGTTAAAGTCAATGAGTAGGAGTCGGATGTATGTATCCTTGTTATCCAGATGTTCTAGGGATGAATGTCGGGCCAGGGAGACTTCATGTGCCATGGACCTATTGTGACAGTAGGTGGATTGTAGTGGATCATGGCAATCTGGGAGGCTGGAGTTGATATGTGCCAGTACTAACCTCTCGAAATACTTCATAATGATGGATGTCAGAGCCACCGGGTGGTAGTCATTAAGACACGTTGCCTGATTTTCCTTTGACAATGGGATGATGGAGGTCTTCTTGAAGCAGGTGGGAATCACATATCGTAGTAGCGAGAGGTTAGAGATGTCTGTAAATATTTCTGAGACAACAAGGTGTAAAGCTGGATGAACACAGCAGGACAAGCACAATAGGTCCATGG